TTTTAGATAATAAATAGATTGGTAAGTTGCTATCATTACAGTCACTATCATTGTTTTTGAAAACTTATTAACCGTTGATTATTATTTGTTTATTTTAAATAATGAATAGCCTGTAAGTATTTTCGTCATAATTATTATCATTATTTTTGAATATAACTCTGGAATGACCCAGGATTATTTTTAATGATGGATGATGAAAACGAATCTGATTAATAAACAGCTGATTAATGAATCAGTTAGTGGACCAATGAATGAACTAATGACGAAAGAAAAGAAAAAGTAAAGGAATTAATTATTGTGTTATAAACAGATAAAAAAGATTAAGGATAATTAATGTATGTATATATGTTAGGATGGCTTAACATTAAATGTTAATTATTAAGGACGTTGAGCATTAATTATTAAATGCAGAGTATTATTAATTGAAGGATATTGAGCATTTAATAATTAATGATCCCGAGAATCAGTATTATCAGTATTAGTTAGTATTAGTTATTAAGGATGCCGAGTATCGGTAATCAAGATGCCGAGCATTAAAATTATTTATTTTATTATAATTATTACGATATTTATATACAAAAAAAACAAACACATGTATTCTTAACAAATATTTCTTTTTTTGTAGATCTCTCTCATTCACTCATACAAAAAAATATATATGATAAAATCCAATTTGGTAATTTCGTAGAAATAGAAAGAATATATATAAAACGTGTTGATTTGATGAAGGGGGATTTTTTTTTTTGAGGGAACGGGAAAATAAAAAATCTAATAATAAGGGAAACAAACAATAACTTTTAAGAATTGCTAATTACTATTATTATGAATGGATAAATGTATGAATGGATGAATGAAGATGTTCATTCATCCATTCATTCATTCAGCAAAATTTTAATATTTATTTTTTTTCTAATAATAATCATCATTATTTTTAAAAATAATTTAATTAAATATTAATTAAATATTTATTTTAATTTAGAATGGACCCTGAAATTTTACCCACCAAACATACACACACATCCAACTGGTTATCTTATTCAAAATTTTTTAAAAAAAAAAAAATTAAGATTACACCAATTTTAAGTATTACTGTTTTTTAATAATAGCCTCGTGTTAGATTTACATTTCCAACAAGGTTTGGTGTGGTGCTATCGAGTTCAGTCATAACGATTATTGTTATTTATTTATGTATAATATCTAATTATTTTGAAAAGAGAAAAAAATTTTTTATTGGTTAGAAAAATCCGCCAACTTATATTCAAGATTCTTTTAACTATATTTAATTTTTATAACGCATTTAAATGATGTATGTATACTAATGACGCAATAATGATATAATATATATAATAAATGTTCTCCGGGAAGCATGGTCCCGAAGCACCTAAAATACCCAAATCATTACGGCTATCAAGGTTAATTAATAAATTATATACTTTACCTCTCTTGTTTCACTAAATTTTTTTCCTCTCACTTTATTTGAGATTGTAATGAATCGATATATTCCTTGTCAAGAAGGGAAATTTTTTAATTAAAATAAAAATATATAAATTTTTTTTTAATTTTAATTTTTAATTTTTTTTTTTATGGAGGGGAAAATATTTTTATGCTATTTATATAAATGTTTGTTATTATTATTTATTAAAAAAAAATATTTACTATTTATTTACTATTTATTTACTAAATTTTTTTTTAAAATTA